CCCAAAGCACAATAGACAGTTTCTGGAATGCACCTGACAAAGCCTTTTTCATAAAGAATTCTTTTCAAAAGGGTAACATCAGTCCTTCACTAGGTAGTTCTAGGTAAATGGCTTCCCCTCGCAGGCCTTTTGGTGTCTTTGAGTATCACTTGCTGAGTAAAATTTGATGATGGTATAGAAACCAGGCCAGGGCACAGCAACATTTGGGAAAACTCTGACTGAGTGCAGAAAGCTAAACCTGGAGAATGCTATGGACAGACTGCATGTCTCCAGGGGTTTTTAGGCTTCACCTCTCTGGACACGATATCCTTGTCCAACAGGAATGTGACATGCTTGGCTATGGCCCCCACTGACTGGGGCAATGTGAGGCCAGTCCTCAGCACTGGCTGAGGTGGCGTCTCATTCATCGGGATCTCTATCACTGCTGCTACCTCCTCATGGGACCCCGGTATATGCCCCAAGCTTGGACTTGTCTTTCCAGGGCTGCTGGCTTTCCCAGAGCATGGGCTCTGCCACTGCTTCAGGCACTGCCTCTGCCCCCACTACCATCATCGTTGTCCTAATCTTTTACTTTCTATAAAAATTTAACTGTGCAATGGTTATCAGTAAAGTTAAATCTTATAAATGTAGAGGACAGGGAATAATTTTCAAATTTGCAGCAGCTATCAACAAAATTTTATTTATAAAGTTGTTTAAACACAAGAAAATTCTGGTTCCTTTTCTATGAACTATCAAAAGTTGGGGACAGAATGCTCTTTCATCTCAAAAAAAATCAAGTTTTGGATGACAGCTTTTCAACATAAAATAAAGACAAAATCAAGGTGAAATACATGAAACACTTTTCTAGTCCATATATACTTGGATAATCTTGTAATAAGTTTCTTCAGCAACTGACAGTGTTGAAATAAAATCTGTCTCGGGGTAGTGTTCTAAGAAGTCATTAGCAGCAGTGGTAGCAGTATCAGTAGTACTTCCAGAATCTGTAAAATCCCAAAGCTATTGCCAAGCAAGTAAACACTGAGGCTGTGAAAAAAAGAAACATTATAGGTCATGCATTTGTAATCGTTTTGCTGAGAATAATGGAATAATATTATCTTCACATTAAATGCGTCTATAAACAAGACATAGATTTTATGCTGTTTTTAATTTCCTAGAAAATTAAACTAAAGATGAAAGATATTAAGGGCATAATTAATGTCAATTCTCCTTAAAAGTGTCCTGTATTTTAAGACACAATAAGAATGAAAATAATTTTAACATGTAGATGTCAGAATATATAAAAGTACTTCAAAGTCATTATCAACATTAGCATTATTAATGACTACTTTAAACTACTTTTGTTTCTTTTTTATTTGGTGGTACTGAGAATTAAACCCAAGGCCTTGAACATGGTAGGCAAGTGCCCTATCACTAAGCTTCATCCCTAGCTCTTTTGTTAAAAATTTTATTTTGGGGCCCGAGATTTAGCTCAGTGGCATGGCCCCTGCCTCGCAAGTGCAAGGTCCTGAGTTTGATCCCTGGTATGGGGAGGGTATTATTTTAAAAAACCAGGTGTGGTGGTGCATACCTATAATCCCAGCACTCAGGAAGCTGAAGGAGGAGGATCACTGTGAGTTTGAGGCCAGTCTTGGCTACACAGTGAGTTCAAGGCCAGCCTGAACTACATAGTGAGACCCTATCTCCAAAAAAAACAAAACAAAAACAAAATTTTACTTTGAGATGGCATTTCACTGAGCTGCCCAGGGTGGACTTGAACTTGTGATTCTCTTGTGTCAGCCTCCCAAATAGGTGAAATTACAGGTGTGTACCACACCTGGCTTTTATATCTTATGATAAATGAAAAACTATCATTCTTATATTAAATATTATGTAGCAACATAGCAAGGCCTCACCTCTTAAAAAAAACTCTTAGAACTATTTAAAAAATGGAAGTTTAATGAAAACTCTTAAAAAGCTAAGAGGTAGAATAAAAGGCAGAAAAAGCATAAGACTTTTTTGGCTAGTACATCATCTTGTCTTTATGTTACATCATTTGAGGTTGAAAATCTGTTTTCTCAGCTTTAAAAAATTAGATTTGAGTGAGCCTTTTAGGGACTCTATTACAGTCTCCAATCTGTTTAAAAAGCTATGAAAGCATTTTTAAAATGGAAGATCTGTGCTGAGGGACAAACTTTTATGACTAAAGAAATGAGAAATTAGCCATGCAAAGTAAAGCTATCTGAATTATAATGTATAACCATATGTTGTCCCATTTGATTTTACTACTTAATGAAACTCATTTAACGATAATATCATTTCTTCAATTTTAAGAAATCGGATTAGGCTTCTTTCTAAGACACAGAGGAGCTGGACATTTTGAGAAAGAATAACAACACTGAGTGTCTTACTGCCCCAGACAATTATGTATTATCCCACTTGATCTGCTACTATTTACCATGGATCAGGTAGCATGTTAGTTTGCTGGGCAATTATATACATTACCTTATTTAATTGTACTTTTAAAAATTAAAAAAATGTTTTGAGTTTCTCATTATGTATTCATTCCAGGCTAGCCTTGAATTTGTGGCGATCCTCGTCTCAGCCTCCCAAATGGTGGGATCACAGGTGTGTGCCACCACATCTGGCTTATCTGTAATTAAAACCCTGTGGAATTGGTGGTGGTATCCCCACTGTACAGATGGGGCAAAAAGCCCAAAGATACATTAATAGCAAGTGGTAGAGCCAAGATTCAAGACTTAAGTATACCTGATGCCGAAGCTTTGTTATCCTGTGACATCTTAAGGACTCAATCTGTCTCTTTTTTTTTTTTTTTTTGGACCGGGGATCGAACTCGGGACCTTGCGCTTGCGAGGCAGGCAGCGGAACCATTGAGCTAAATCACCAGCCCTGATTTGTCATTTTTTGAGCTCTATAGTGCTATTTAGGTAATTATGTCCTTTGTTAACTTAAAAGTTAAGAGTTTTAGACTACTAAGTGAATACTTGTTTATTATGAGGGAAATATTTTATTCCTTTATAAGATTACATAACACAATTGTTTCTATACTTAAGTTTCTCCTCATTTCTTGGTGCTGTTATTTCACCTTTTATTTCTTACTATCATTAAGGTAACTATGGAGCAGTTGCAAAATGCTTTTAAATTTGCTGTTTATCTTCTGTGGCCTGTCTAGGAGACATCCTACATTACTATTAATCTGCCCATGACAGAATCTCCCACATTAACATAGATTAATCCATTTATACCAAAGGACCCAATTTTTTGAATTTTTGCATGAAACTCATATATGTTACCTAGAAAAATTCAAAGACCAAGAACTTGAAAAGAAAAATTTTTATTATGCTACATTGTTGTGTGCCATTCCAAAAAAGGAACATTAGGCATAAAAAGATTGAAGAGAAACTGCCATTATCTTATAATTGTTGTCTTCTTGGTGGTGTTTGATACAAGACAGGCCATTCAGATTACTTCCCTGGGATTTTCCAAACTGGAACTAAGGAAAGAGGCTAATCTTTCTTAGGTGGTGAAAGTGGAATGACATGAATCTAGGTGGTAGTGATGTTTCACTCATGGAGGAAGTTGGTATGAGAAAATGAGGCAAGCATTCAGAGACAATATACAAAGTTCTGTTTCTGTAGTTCCACAGTAAGCCAATATATTTCTTCTTCTTCTTCTTTTTTTTTTTGGTACCAGGGATCGAATTCAGGACCCTGCACTTGCCAGGCAGGTGTCGGGGAACCACTGAGCTTAATCCCTGGCCCTATTCTTCCTATGTGTAAGCTAGTTCAAGTTGATTATACAACACCTAAAACTAAAATAGTGACTGATATATGCTGAGACACCAAAGAAGCAAAATGAAAGACTTACAGTTTGATAAGAGTTTTTTTTTTCAAGTGAAATACAAGGTCTTTAATGCTGGGGCTTTGATAGGTGAACTAGGATACTCCCAGCCTCTACCCATTCATGATTGAATTTAATATGTGAATCTCAGATAAATGGGGTCATTATCTTACTAGCAACATCTCAGGTATTCTAGAACCAATAAATCCACTCACTCATGACATTATCTTCCCAATGTTTGATGTATGGAATTCTGGCTTCCTTACGAGTAAAAGCAGTACTAAGAAATATTTGGAGAAGGATACAGAAAGAGAAAAACACATTAGTACTGTTGTTTCTAAATCCTCAGTGAAAAAAGGAAAGGAGAATGACTTAGGAAAATATTTTTCTAAACAATGACTAACTTGTTAATTTCTTTTGGTATTGCCACTAAATCTATTAGGTTGTCCCTGGTATACCCTCTTGAATGAAAGCTTTCTAGATATCATCACTATCTTCCAACTGAGGGTAAAAAAAGATTTTGTTATTAACCAAAATATTGATTCTTTAGGTAAATATTCTGAAGGAAGCTGAGTGGAATTTGAAGCCCTCTCTAACCTGTCTTGCTTTGGAATTGATCTTAAAAGAAGGAATAAACATTCCAAACTGGGCTGTTCTGAAATTTCCCTGGACATTAGAATTGAACTGAAAGTCTCTAGTTCCAGAGATTTTGTTAGAGCAGAAGTTTTCAAAACTTGTTTAGTGTTATAATTCTTTCTTTGATGAATCTTAAGCAGAAACCTAGTATTTTAAAATAAAAATTGAGCATTCTCTTTGTAGAATGGAAAAGGATATACATCAGCTGAAGGCTGGGGCTCATTTTTTTTTTTTTGGCACTGGGAATCGAACTCGGGACCTTGCGCTTGCAAGGCAGGCGCCAGAACCACTGAGCTAAATCCCCGGCCCTGGGGCTCATTTTTCACCTCTCCTGCCACCCCAATACCAGTAGTGGCTGCCTAGACAATCATTGATGGCACAGATCAGCAGTTTTATTTAGGATGGTAGTTCACTGATACACAAATTTAAAATATGCATCTTTTTTACCTCAGATTTTAAATGTGCACAGGAACTTTTTATATAGAAATAATAGCTGCAGGGTATAACAATGTATATATGATCTGAAGGTGGCAGCACCGAGGACCATGTGGGCCCTGGGACCTACCAGGTCCCACTCCTGAAGCAAAGGGCGGCAGATGGCTATGCACCATTTCTTTCTTTGACTGCCAGAGAAAGTACTTTTACTGTTTTCTCCACTATTGAAGAAGATGTCCCAGGTCCAGGACACTATAATGTTTCAGAAGCACAGTGTAATATAAAAGGAGGCCATAGTCTACAAAACTGAGAGAAGCGTTTTAAGAAGTTTATTTCAGATAACCCAGGACCTGCAAGTTATGGACAGTCTTATTGTGGAACACTAGATATCCTGAAGAGAAAAATACTAGAATCTAAAGAGCATCTTCAATCAAAAATTTCAAGAATACCTACTGTTACCAGAAATGTAGATATTCCTTCAATTCCTTCTTGTGGACAGTCATATGGTTATCATACTAATGAAGATGGCAGAATTATAAAATGCTTTCCACCTGCAAATGATAGCACGCTAGGACCAGCATACTACAAACCTCAATTTGATGTTTCCATTGCAACTTTGAAATACAAAGGTATACATTTTGGCAACACTTCAGGAAGAAAAGAGTTACCTAAAAAATTAGGTCTTGGTCCTGGACAGTATGAAATAGTCAAGTAAGGAAGGAAAAGACATTACATTATGACAATATTAATATCAAGAAAGATCAACAGCAAGAGTATTGCTCAAATATCCCACGATTTTATGAAGCAATAGAATTGCAAGAGGAAAAAAGTTGCCAGTTTTTCAGTGAAGTTCTTCAAAGAGGAAAAAACATGTTTCAAGAGAGATGAGAGGAAAGGATTGAATAAAAAGAAGTGGACAAAATTATGTGTGGGGAAAAGAGGCTGAAAATACTTATTGCTTAAACAAGGATTCAGTATATTTTGGAGCACATACTGTCTTCAAATGTAACTGTAAACTAGTTTGTACTGTTATAATTGATTTTTGTATTCTAAAGTCATATTCAAGGTAAATCTTAAGAACTATGTAAAATAAATAAACCTACTTGGAAAAAAAACCCAATGTATATATGTATATGTATCTTCTCAACATAGTACTGTACTTAGTGATGAAAAATTCAGAGTAGAATGCTTGTTTTTTTTTTTTTTGGTACCTGGGATCAAACTTGGGTCCTTCTGCTTGTGAGGCAGGCAGTGGAACCACTGGGCTAAATCCCCAGCCTAGAATGCTTGTTAATAGCCGGGGATTTAGCTCAGTGGCACCGTGCCTGCCTTGCAAGTGCAAGGTCCTGAGTTTGATCCCTGGTACCAAAAAAGAATGCTTGTTAATAGAGAGTTAACTAAATCAGGCATTTTAATACAATGGACTACTACTCTTTCTAATAAAAAATATATCTATATAAGTATCAATGTTGAACAATTTAAAATATTTAGTTACATTTTAAAAAGTTGTGGAGTGGACCATATTATAAACTAACTACTTTTTAAAAGCATATATAATATTTCCATACAGAAGGAAAGATTGTATTTTAGTAAATATACATAGGGAAGGGATTTGGAAGGTTTTTATTTTCATTGCTTTTGAGTTATATACAATATAATTAAAATATATTACTTTTAGAAAAAGAAAGAAGATAAATGGCACCTGACTACTGCTTTCTGCTTAACTCACTGGGTGCATATAATTTTTTTTATGGATTAAACTATTTATTACTGATATATAATGATAGAGCAGAAACAAGAGTTATCAGTTAGTCTGGATTAGCTCATCAGCTCTGGATAACTTTTTTGGAGGGGTGCATACAATTTTTAAGTCAGATGGTAATACAGGAGCTCAATATGTGACAAGTCTAATTTTGGGGAAGTATCTGTGCTCAGTCAGTTGATTCAAGGGATTATTGCCCACTTCCCTCTGCTTTGTTTACTTTAGTGACTTTTCTCTTTAATCTCATTCATATCCTTTTGAGGTGCACAGCAGTAAAAAGAACATTTTTTTTGCTGGGCATGATAGTGCATGCCCATAATCCAGGTATTCAGGAGGCTGAGACAGGAAGAGCCCAACTTTAAGTCTAGCTTTATAGCTTAGTGAGACTGTGTCTCAAAATAAAAAATAAAAACAAGGGCTAGGGATGTTTCTCAGTGGTAGAACATTTGCCTAGCTTGTATGAGGCTCTGAGTTTGATCTCCAGTAATGAATGAATGAATTAATCAATTAATTAATTTGGTACCCAGGATTGAACTTTGGCCCTTGTGCTTGCAAGGCAGGCGGCAACACCACTGAGCTAAATTCCCAGCCCATGAATTTACTTTTTTCATTGTGGAATACCTAGTTTATCCTTGTTATCATTTTAAGGTTTTGGTTTTTTTTTTTGCAGTACTGGGGATCTAACTCAGGACCTTGCACTTGTGAGGCAGGCGGGATACCACTGAGCTAGATTCCCAGCCCTTCCTTGTATCATTTTGTACAAGGGTTTATATATTTCTCTGGTATCCATATGTTTTTGCCTAGTTGCAGAGTTGACTGGTAAATTTGTATCTTGAGACTGGAGCTTTTTTCAAGTACTATAGGGACAAAATAAAGGAACCTTGTTATAGATCCTTTTTTTATTTCCCCCTGTACTTGCATGATTACCTTGAAAGGTAGGAAATAATAAGTCTGAAAATTAAATGACACCAATTCCTTTTTCTGATAGTCTTACCTGCAAGATAACGAATTGTCTCAAGTTTGTTAGACTCCATCAGTGTTTTTAAGGAAGCAATTTCAGTGTCAATTTTATTACTGGTCTCTGAAATAACACTTTTGGTTTGGGTATCCTGTAAATAAGAATAAATATGAAAACTAAATTTTATTCCTATATATCATGGCAAAAACATCTATACTAGAAACCCTCACTTAAGCACCAACTGTAGATTTCAAAACTTTCAAGTGGAGAAAAACAGTAAAAGCATAATGGTATTAAAAAACATTAAGTGAACATCATACAACTGACAAATTACATTACATTCCTCCAACTGTCATATTTGGAGGTAATTTTTTTTTTCTTTTTTGGTTTTTTGAAATATGGTCTCAGTATGCAGTTCAGGCTGGCCTTAAGCTCACTATGTAGCAGAGGCTGGGCTGGAACTCTCAGTGATCCTCCTGCCTCAGCCTGTCAAGTGCTGGGATTTCGGTGTGTGCCACCATGCCCAGTAGAGATAATTTCTTAGGATAATCACATAATGGGTATATTCACTAAACCTCATATTTGAGATCTAACTATATAAGATGAAAAATTAAGACTCTAATTTTTATAATTCCAGAACCATCACTTTCTGTTTGTAAATTCCTTAGAATGTTATGGTTAAACTTTAAATATATTCTGTAAAAGAAAAAAAATAAAAAAGCGGGCCAGGGATTTAGTTCAGTGGTTCTGTCACTTGCCTCGAAAGCACAAGGACCCGAGTTCGATTCCCAGTACCAAAAAGAAAAAAAAATCAAAAAGGAAAAAATCAACCAGGTTTATAATATGAACTGGAATGTACCTGATGGGTGACACTGAATGTGTAGGGGTTGGAGCTAAGAAAAGAGTTGTGAGAAAAATCTGCTGATTCCCTTGTTTACTCCTTTCTCTGGCCAAGAAGAGAACAGGACTCTTAAAATGTCAAACATGATCTTCTCTTGTTAAATACTAAGCAAGAGGGCCAGGCCAGGGATTTAGCTCAGCGGTTCTGCTGCCTGCCTTGCAAGTGGAAGGTCCTGAGTTTGATCCCCAGTACCAAAAAAACCAAACCAAAAAACTAAACAAGAGGGGCCAGGGACTTGGCTCGGTAGCACCGTGCCTGACTCAAAAGTGTATGGTTGCGAGTTTGATCCCTGGTACCAAAAAGAGAAAAAGAAAAAAACACTAAGCAAGAGTGATGTCTCTTCTATTAAAAAGCCAAATGGCTTTTAACTTAAGAAAAAGACTAGGTTGGGCTGGGGATTTAGCTCAGTGGTGCTGTCACCTGGCTCGAAAGCCCAAGGTCCCGAGTTCGATCCCCGGTACCAAAAAAGAAAAAGACTAGGTTGACTCAAAATGCTGGTGTTTCATCAAGCCATAGAGATGAATAATACCTATTTTACAAAGGTTGATATGAAAATTAAATGAATTCACAGATACAAGGAAGAATGTTAAGTAGTATCTAGTATATAATAAATATTTAATAAATACTGTGATTTTAAAAATTTAAGGTAATTATTTAAATCTAGATAATCATTTAAATACTAATAGTGAGTCTTTGGCTTTTTGAAAATAGATACTGTCTATGTAAAAATAGTTTTAAAAAGTATGCCACGTGAGCTGGGCGTGGTGGTACATGCCTGTAGTCCCAGCACTTGGGAGGCTGAAGCAGGAAGATCACTATGAGTTTGAGGCCTGCCTGGGGTACATAGAGAGTTCAAGGCCAGCCTGAACTACATAACAAGACCTTGTCTCAAAAAAAAAAAAAAAGTATGCCATGTGGAAAACTCAATTCTTATTCCAAGGACTACAGCTAATACACAACCATCTACATGGGGGCAGCCTCCCCAGAAGTGAGGCCAACTATAACAGCCATAAGAAAACCACAGATTCTGCAGGATGTTTTAAAATTCATACTTATAAACTGAAACACATAAAAGCAGTTATATAAAGCTATTTGGAAGAGAAATTTCTACATGCTCTCTTACCTTTCTGGTAAATTCTGTGGTTGCTTCCATAAGTTGCTTTTCTTGATCTGTAAACTAAAGAATGCAAAGCAGCAGGAGGTTAAAAAATTAAAAAGAAAAAAAAAATTAAAAAGAATATAAAAGGAGTAAGCAACCAAGAAAGCACACTGAAGAAGAAGAAGCACATTACCATATCTGTTACTCTGCTTCTTTCTAGGTTGATGTCTAGTTTATTATCTGCTCTGATTCGGCTGGTTTCATGCTTAAAAAAAAAAAAAGAAAAGAAAAGAAAAATTTAAGTGATCATATCATATGAAATGTTTTGAAATTAGTAGAAAAATTTCACTTACTATCAGTTGTTGTTTAACTTGATCTAATTCAATTTTCATTTTCTAGGTATAAGAAAGATCACATGCAATTAACATTAAACCAAAAGTATATATTATGATTTATGTAAAAAATCTATATCCTAGATTAGCACACTTTGGACCTTTAAAGATTTCTAATACAGAATCTAATAGAACAGGCCATCAAATTCAGAAAATAGGCATGGTGGTGCTTGCCTGTAAACCTAGCACTCAGGAGGCTGAGGCAGGAGGATTGGCGTGAGTTCAAGGCCAGCCTGGGATACATAGTAAGTTCAAGACTAGGCTGAACTACATAGTGAGACCCTGTCTCAAAAAAAAAAAATTCTTATGAACAAAACATTAGACAAAGCACTTATGTTTTAATATTCTTTAAAAATGACTTGATTTTCTGAATTTAAAAATATTTATGCTAGGGAATAATATTATTTTGAATTTCTGGTTTAATTACAGAAACATTTTTCTTAAGTGACAAAGATAATTGGTATATGGTCAAATACAATGGAAAACCCATTACTTTTAGTTTTGCAAACATTATATGATTAGCTATTGAATTTTGTTTTTCTTTTTCACAATGCTGGGGATTGAAACCAAAGTTTGTGCACTGGGCTACAAATTTTTTATTTTGAGGCAGGATCTTGCCAAGTTCCTAAGTTGCATGAACTTTGAATCCTCCTGCCTTAGCTTCCCAGACTGCTGAGCTTATAGGTATATGCTATGCTTAGCTTACAACAGAAATTTTATATACTATATAGAGCTCAAAGATTTTCCCTTTTGTATGATTTTTACATATATAAAATATAACTTATTCATCAGAATATAAGAAACTAATTTACACATAAAATTAAGCATGGTTAAACATTTTTAGTCTAAGTACTTATTGTTTAATAACCACATGAAGTTATTTGGTCTTATTAACTTATTCACCAAGTAGCATATTTATAAGATCAGTTAATAATAAATTAAAACTTGTATCACCTCATTCTCTGCTCTCAGATTTGCAAATTCACTTTTTTCTAGGATGACCATATCTTTCCTGATAGAATCCAAATGAGCCATTAGCTGTTGAACTGTTATTTCCTAGAAAAAAAAAAAATCAATGTGTGATTTATATAATGTCATCCTTTTGTGGATT